GTACTAATTGAAAAATCATAATTCTAGTGTAGACGATGTTATCATTAGCCCTTGAAGTTAGCTTTTGAACAGAAATTTGGTGTTACTTTAAAAGCTTAAGCTGTACTTAAGTACAGAGTGAAATAGGAATTACCAGCCAATAATAGATAAACAATAAATATTACAGTTGGAACCTCATTGTATTTAGAACTTGGTTGTAAATACAACCTTCCTATGTCTATTGAAACACTGCATTTAAAAATACAAGCAAACAAGTAAAGAAAAACTTTTCAAAAACTGAAATAAATGTAGGGATGGCTGATATCAATCTTTCAAAAACAATGCAAACAAGATAGTGGGGATGGCATCATCCCTACTTAATAATTAGGCAATATTGCATCATCCACGAAACACTATTTGCACTTAAATACATTAGGTCCTCAAAACAGATGATGATTCTGAAGAAAAGTGTAAAACAAATTGGGTGATGTAATATATTTTTCCACCATTGTATTTTTTCCGCATCCATCACACGTTCGACGAATATCAATACTTTCCCACATTTCATTATTCCTTATTCGAGTTGACCGTGTAGTAATTTAGAAAACTATTTTTAATGTTTTGTCAGAATATAAAAATGTAATATTCTTTTTCGCTAATTGTCAAAATAAAAGGCTTTTACTTATATTTCTTAATAGTATAAATATATACTATGTTGTTGTTGAGCTTAGGGTTCTTCTACAGTAGGTGTCTGTGATCTGTTAGCAACAAATTCAATGATAAATTCCCCCCAGTAGAACAACGGTATGTCTGCGGACTTACAACGCTAGAAACCGGGTTTCGATACCCGTTGTGGACAGAGCACAGATAGCCCATTGTGTAGCTTTGTCCTTAATTCCAAAAACAAAAACAACAACAACAACGATAAATAAACAGCACGCACTTCACTTGTTTTCAAATTTACAAATTCTTCGAACTATTGAGATTATAGGCATATCATAAACACTATATGTATAGTATTCTTCTTATTGTCAAAAGTTCACTCAGGCCTATTCAATTACTTTAGAATTTCAGTTGACAAGCTGAATTATCTTCTCTATTACTATCGCACTAGTATTCTGTGTGTAATTCACTTACAGTTGTGGTGCGAGTTACCGTAATCGTTTGGTCTTCTTTTTTTTAAATATCCTCTGTTTCTTTCGTCAACGTGCAATCAGGTTGATTCATTTACTTTAGAACCACGCTTTGACGGAATAATTCTTCTTATCTCTTGTTAGTTTTACTCTAACATATTAAACGTTAGTCCTATGTCAATCGTTAGGCCTATCATTTGTATGGTAGTTAACTTCACACCGAACTTTTCCTTGCCCTGTAACTTTACTCTTTTTTTGCTATTATCTGTCTGCTGTTTTTGCTCGTCTCACACTATTTATATCTTTATCACTTTTTCGTCTGCCCGCCTTCTATATTCTCGACGTCAATGTATTGCACGTGACGTTTGAAAGTCTCAACATCAATGAATTATTAACAAAACTTCCTACAATCGTCTGCTTTTAACTCTCATTATAACAAAAACTAAACAATAATAAAATATTCATTCATAAAAATAAATTAATCAATAATATCTAAACTAAACTGTCTTTTATATCATGACATAAACCCTTCTTCAAGATAACTATTTACAATATTATTTTACTCTATACAAAGAATGTCCTTAGTTCACCCACAAAATGTGCTCATACAGTCTGCTCCAACATTTGCAGTCCCTTTGATAGTTTCAATGCAGGACCTGTAGTTCTGAAGGTACAATGCTAACCTCATGATCCTCGCATGTCGATCTTGCATCTCTGAACGTATGCAAGTGGTTGATGGTCTGTCTGGATGATGAACTTCTTCCAATATAGATAGTTCTGGAACTTTCGAATGGCAAATATGATGGCCAGACACTCTCGTTCAATCATGGAGTAGATCTTCTCACTATTTAAGATATTTTTACTTATATACACTTAGTGGTCACAAGTAAATAGACACCTAATTTTTCGTCATTTAACAGATTTATGCTAACTAATTTGTGTTCACAGAGCACTATATAAATGAAAATGATCCGCACACTAATTATCTTGTGCTACAACATTCCTAGAACTCAAGGTTCTCTCGAATTGTCAGATTTTG